AAATTTTTTTAATAAATTTTCTTTTTTATTAATTTATACTAGTTTACTATCATTTTGATTCTAAATAAAAATAAATACGTATGAAAATATAAGTGAAACAAGTGCAATAGAATAAAATTGTAGCAAATTTGTATTGTTGAAATTGAACTTGATATCAATAAATATGTTAATTTTAATACAATTATATAAAACTTTACTGAAAATGTACTACATGACTGAGACACAAGATACTTATATTACATTCATATACATAGTTTGCATAAACAAACTAAAGTTGTATTTAAACTATACACTATAAATCAAATACTACTCAACGCCTCCTATGCAATGCATCTTTCCCCACCACCTGTTGCACAATAGTTTAAAATTTGAATTGTCGGTTAGTGTCGGTTGATCTTTGTGCATGGATTATATGCATGGCTGAAGTTGGCGTCATCTGTTACGCGGTATGCTTAAGTTTACCTACATATGATTGCAACCTGTTGATACACGTTAAAAGACGGTGTGATTTTGTGTTATTTCGTGAACATATTTACTTTATTTCCAATTGTAGTTTCTCAATGCTTAATGAGAAAGGACTGAAAATCAATTGTTAAGAAATGAGTGATTCTGGAGAGAATGTTAAATATAAATGGACACCTGAAAGCACTTCATTGTTAGTGTCAGTATGGTCAGATAAACAAGTGCAAAAACAACTTGAATATACTTCGAAACCACAACTTATTTGGGAAAGTGTTGCACGGTATATGAAGAAGAAAGGGTATAATGTTTCGGGTAAACAGTGTCGATCTCGAATGAAGCAGGTTTTAGTTTGTTATCGTGAAGCTAAAAGAGCTGGTACTCGAGCTGGTGTAGAGCAATATTATGAGTTAATAGATAGAGTTCTTAAAAACAAACGTATGGAAGGAAATAATATTGGCATAGATACTGTAGGTAAGGCATATTGAAAATAAGAATATATTTATATTGTTGTCTTTTATTTATTTGATTCCCTTTTGTATTAACATTTTATTGATTAAAATTAATAGTTTAAAATGTTTTAAAATATTTTTTCAAGGTATACCATAATTATAAAAATAATTAACTTATGACTTTTTTGTTAGATGCAATGATAAATGTTAAGTCGCCTCCAAAAGAAATGAAAACAAATAAGAATTTACAAATGAGACATAAGTTTCAAGACCATGTACCAACACTTCATCGCACAGAGGCATTATCACCTACTTGGACATTAGGATGTAAAATCATATTTCATTTATAGAAAAATATTTGTACATTGTTGGTTATATTTCCATCAATATATTTAAGGTTCATATTGTTTTATAGGTGATAACGAATATCCTGATTCACCTGAATCAAATGAAACTATAATAGCACAACCATGTAGAGTCTTTTCTCCCACAAAGGATGTAGCTATTAATACTCGTGAAAAGTTGATTCAAATAGCAGGAAAGTCAACACAATGCAATATTCTTCCAGTTGAACATCCGCTACATATAAACTATAAACAAAATTTATTATCAAGTTATAACTATGGAGAAATACCCTTCCAAAATACTGTACAAAATGTGCAAAATCAAATAATTCAGGAGAATATGCAACAAAATCAAAATTTGCAACAGAATCACATGTATAGTCAACAAAACATGTTAGCAAATAATTTTAATCAACAAAATTTACAAAACTTAAATCAAGGTATAACAGCACAACCTATAAATGTGCCAATGCAAATTAATTCAATGGCAATGCAAAATCCTAATTTGAATCATATAATTCAACAACAAAATCAATTACAACAAATGACGCATGTAAATAATCATGCAGTGCCTCAAGAACCACGAAAAATGATGTTAGAACAAAATTTTGCAGGTACATACAAACAGCAATATGATAGTTTATTAACTCATATGCCTGCAATAGTAAACATAAAACAAACTGAGTCTCAATCTCCAGATTATTCACCAGATGTATCTCAAAATTTAAATGATGCTTTTTGCCAATCAAAGAATGATGAAAAAACACATAGTTTAAATGAAACTTATAACAGAAATATGCAAGCAGCAAATCCACTAGTAATGCAAAATTCTGAGATCTCTGTAATGACAAACAATGCAACATATAATGATGACAGTCTACTGGAATTTTCGATAGATTCACCAACTCCATCAGAAAATAATAACAAATCGAAAGATGTGCCTGTTAATACAAATAATATTCCACATGTGCCATTAAGGAAAAAGAAAACACAAAAACTAGAACAACTTGTTTTAAGTGCTATTAATTCTCAAAATGAAGTTGTTAATAAGGTAAGGTATTAAATGCTTCTCTTTTATTAGCTCATTTAATCAAATAATTCTATCATTAATTCTGTATTATTTCAGATTCTTACTGCACAGAATGATATGGTAACGAAATTCATAAATATAGATAGAGATCGTCAAAATAGACTTGAAAATCGTTTGGATGATTTATTAAAAGTTGTTCATGCTTCTGTGGTTACAAAACAAACTTCAGAAACAGATGTTGAACTACCTCCGCCACCAACAGAACCTACAATAACATCTTTAGCACCTCCTCCTAGGCCTGGAGCTGCTCCTCCAAAATTAGATCTAGTTCCTCCAAAACCTTGTCGTGTACCTTGTACAGTGGCAAATTCTAACATTGAATTAATCAATCAAAATACTGTAACAACAAGGCCAGGCGTTGTTTCACCGGTAACTAGTCCAATGAAAAAGCCTGGCACTATATGGTCAAAATTAGGCCCAGTATCACAATCTCCTTTTGTAAAAGCTCAACAACGATTAGGCTTCCAACCTATTGTAACTACAGGAATACGCACTCAATCCTCTGCGGAAAGACGTATAACTAGGGAACTTGAAAAAGCTATGGATACTGAAACGTTAATATATGAAACTAAAAAGTTTTTAAATATCGAAAAGCAATTAGAGGAGAAAATACAAAATGCTCATCTTGAAGCAACAATAAGCAAGACTTTACATACTCGTAGAAGATTATTTACACAAAGAGAACCTACTGCAGCAATGATACTAACTGCAACATTTTTAGAGAATGAATGCCGGACTTCGGAACAACTTAAGAATTGCAATGACATTTTAAATATTAATGACAAAAATTTAAAAAATATCGATGATCACTTATTATCAGGTCAAGGAGAAAGCTATGAGCGCTTGAGGCAATTAAATGTACAGCCTGCTTATGTACATGATAAACCGAGTGATACATCTACACCAGCAAAATTAGGGACCATTTTTAATAATAATGGAAAAACATCTGCAACTGTACCAAAACAAACAATTCAACAATTATCACAGCTAGTGATGAATACAGGAAGGTGGAAAGATAATGGAGTACAAAATGGAGCACAAAATCATGGACATGCAATTCAATCAAATGCCCAAAAATATCAAATAGACACACAAAATAGATGTCCAGATTCTTATAACGAGGCACTTGTAGTAGAACAGCCTATATCCATACCCAAAGAAAATCAAACAAAAAATGATCAAAATCATATTCGTGACTGGATGTTGAGCAAATATAAAGATCCAATAAATGAACAGAAAATGACATATAGTTCATCATGCAATGTAATAAATCAAAAGCCTAATTATCCTATAGGTTTCACAAATGCGGCCTTCGACACTAAACATTTAAAAGGAAAAGACTCCAATAGTGAAGTATGCAGGCCCATTGGATATAATACTGTACCAGATCGTAAACAAAGTGTACGTTTCATGGACGAAGCACTGGCTGAATTACAACGCATGTATATTGAAACAGTAGCTAAAGAACAAGAAATGAATGATAGTTTACCATATGTAATAGATAATGGTAATACGCTTTCGCTTCAAAATCAACAAATGATTGAAAGATATATCCATGAAATAGTTCCAAGAAAGCAGCTGAAAGACAGAGACACTGATTCTGATAATGATGAATTTTTGGATACTACTACTACTATGCCTGTAATTGCTCCACGTCGAAGTTCTCTTACGTCAACTGGTACTGCATCCACTGAAACTGCACATTCCACAAAATTTATGAAACCAGACAATTGCATAATAAGTTAGTTATATAGACATGGTAGATAAAATAACATATTTGTTCTGCTACTTTTATTTTGAGTAAAATTTAAATAACAAACAAAATGTTTCCAAATATTGTAAACTATTACTTTATGTTTTAACTTATAACAGTATATCGAAAGCAAAAATAAATTTCGAATATACTATAAGTACAAACTAACAAGAAAAGATCACAGATGTAGGGTCTCCGATTTCAACTAAATTTTTTCTGATGAATCTGGCTAAGCAGATCTATTTTCTATAACAATAAGAACATTTTATAAATTCTATTTAATAAAATATTTTGCAGATACACTGCTTTTTCTATATCATTTGGAAAACAAACTTCAGTTACATTTGAGAAAAAAAACGGATCTGTGTGAAATCGATATTGTAATACACTAAGAATGTTGTATCATATTTTTAAAAATTGAAACAGACAATACATTATAAATCAATGAACATTTGTAAAACTTGAACAGTATTTTATAACTTTTTAATAAAATTTTTTATTTGACGAAAGAAATAAACGTGGCAAGCTTGACGATATGGTGTCCAATGAAAAGCAAAAATTTCAATGGTAAATGTACAATTATCATAATGCGACGATATTTTAGGAAGTAAATGATGTATAGTAAAATTTTAAGAATGTAGTACTGAAAATTTGACTTTAGATCTTTGTAAGCAATCTGCATTGAACAATATGCTCGTTAATAGATCTGCTTATTTTCACTTTAGATTCACCAGAAAAAGTTTGGCTTTGACATCGGTAACCCGATAGCTGCGTTCTTTTCTTGTAGGTACGAATATTTGATTTGTTCTTTTAAAGTATGAAATATACAGTGTTTAGAGCTGATTGATATTATAGGTATTTTTTTGTGCAATAAAACAAAACAGTTTCGTAATTTGATAATTTTTCTTTTATGAGGATTATCTAAACTGAGGTTTATCTTTGCTAAACATTAACAGCATGTATTGTTTTTTAATTATATACATGGCGGGGCAAACACTTTGTCCACCTGCATTATTTCCGTTATTTGTAATAATATGGAAAAATGTTATATACAAAACTTGCATGATAT